TAAAGAGCTTTGCTGAATCAGAACCTCCAAAATGCAGAGATGATTTAGTATTCTGGCATTTGTAGATTGAGCTCTTTTTGCACACCCCATACTAGATGTCCTAGAAACAGAAGAAAGTTCTGCCATGCATTTCTTAGGGAAATGGCATCCAGCTCTACCTTTTTACCTTAGCAAACCACTACTAGAGCATCTAAAAATAACATTCAAAAATAGTAATCTAATGTAATTAAGCTCGTGTTACTGGCTCCCAATGAGACGATGAACAATTAGTGCTCAAGGCAATAAGAATCTTGCACGCACTTGGGCATAGGCTGCATCTTCTTCAAAAGTTAATGTATATGCTATATGTTTAAACAAACTATTCCTTCATAATGTGATTCCCCCATCCAATGTCTGCTGCTAACATAGAGACATTGGTGTTTGGAATAGATGAGACAGGTATGTGTAAAAACACACATACCCTTGTTAGGACTTTATTCCCTGTAGTGATTATTAATTAGGTTCCAGTCCCACAATTGACTCCACTTAGTAAAAACTCCAGTGGACATAAGTGGAGCTCCAGGAGGCCCCAGGGATCTGCCCATTCAGAGCAGATTGCAGGATCAGAGCCTAAGCTCTTATGGGCAAAAACAGTCTTTGTCCTGTGCTTGTACAGCACCTCGCACAGTGGGGTACTGGTCCATGACTAGGGCTCTTAAATGCTACAGTGATACGAATAATAAAATACCGCTGTGGAGCTAGTGATAATTGTATTTGAAGAGTACACAATCTAACCAATAGCCGGTAACATTTAGGTGTTTTACTTATTTATTCTTGGTCCGTATTTCTCCTTTCTCAAACTCCTGCAATTAACAGTGTGAATGGGCAGGAAGACACAAAGCAGGGGCTATAGTACTTGTCTTTAGCCTGTAAACAATGTATGAGATTAGTGGCATAAGGTCACTCACACATTGCCCTGCTAAATTCCCCTAACTGAGAGAAGCAAATTATGAAATGTACCCCGTCCTTGGTCCCACAACGCCTGAAAAAAATCAGCTGAACAACAGCACCAGAAAATTTTAGGTACTGATAATGTTCCTCTGTAGTTAAGCTTATATATGTAACTTGGGTAAACTACATATTTTATCCATTAAAGAGATATACATCTTATGTCAAAATATTTGACATACAAATATTTATCATAACAGCCATCTGTAATTTAGATTATTTATCATAACAGCCATCTGTAATTTAGATTTTTGTTGATAATTTCTCATGATACAAAATATACACTAAATGCACATTGCAATAAGTACTGTTTCACATACAATGTGTTCAAAATACATTGAGTTAGCCACCATGATTCAATAATTTTTTTTAAATGAGGGCTGCAATAAAATGTCTTTTTCAAAAGCTGTAAAAACTGAAATCCAAAACCCAAGCAGACAAATAAAAAACCTGCATAATATGCAAAATTACTTTGAGTTCCTCAAAAATATAGTTTCAGCAAAAGCATTAAATGTGTATATATTGTGTCAAACTATGCAGTTATCAAAAATATTGTTTTAATGAATCATTCACTTGCCTATACATGCATATTGAATATATGTCTAAATATTAACAAGGGCTGTATAGTAGTATACAAACTAAAATATGCAAAATTTACAGACCTGAGATGATGTTAAAGAGAAAATGAAGCAGTAAATTGCAATATAATGTATAGATCTGGAAATAAGAGGATATTGTACAAGACAATAATGTTGGCACCAATAAATTATTCACTTAAAAAGCAAAAAAATAAAAATAAAATAAAACTCCCCATCCCTGTTTTTTAAAAGAACTAGTTTTGAGGTTTTTGAGCATCCTATATGTGACAAAAGGTGACAATTTAAACACCAAAGAAATTACAAACTTCAAAGTGAAGATGTGAAGCCTCATATATCATGAACATTTTTTTAAAAAATAGGAAATTTATTTTAAATAAAAAATAAGACATTTTGCTTTACTGAATGGATTGTACTGGTAATAAACTTTAATGATTTAATACAAACTTGTAAATCACTTTCAGTGAGGGCCTTACAGTTTAGCACAGCTTTTATGAAAAATACTAAAGTACTGTCATAGCTTAACAATTTTAATTCTTGGAGATCATGAAAATTAGAACAAAATTCAAGTTTATCTGGGAGTTGGAGCAGTAAATACAGATCCATGCTCCATGGTTTTATAGATATTCTGTAGGGAGTTTTTGTTTGCTTTCCCCCCAAAAAATTATGTCTGACAAGCATTATACTATGGCACATGCAAATATTAATGGTAATACATCCCAATACTACTCCCCCAAAAATACAACGTTCAGGTTGTGTGCTATGGTTTATGGAGATGGCATTTTCTTACCAAAAATTGCTTTTACAATTAGATACAATGAAAATTTTAAAGCATATTCTAGATTTATGAAAGCTAAATGTGATCTTTATCCCCTATTAACTCTACACAGGGATTCATTGGTTCTCAAGTCAACAAATTATTCATTTTATGGGCAAAGATTTAGTTATAGGCAACACAGCATCTTTATGTATTAATCAATGGCAATATTACTTCATCCATTATATCTGTTGCTCTTTGTTGCAGGACAGGGATCAATATAAGCAAATAAATGTTGCTTCTGGGGGAGTTAGGCAGAACCCCCTCCCCCGAAAATAAACATCTGTTGTGAAACATCTGTATTAGCTGAAATGTTAAAATAATGGTGCCTGGTTTGACCAAGCTGCTGTGAAAAATTACATTGATGATAATTAAACATATATAGCACAATAAAAAGTCATTTCACTTTGATAACCCTTGGGTACAATGAAATCTATTACTAAAATAAACAAATAATTGTTAAGCTTTACATTTAGACATTAAGGGTCAGATCCTCAGCTGGTGAAAATTGTCATAGCTCTACTGACTTTAATGAAGCCAGGACAAGTTACACCAAGTGAGGATCTGGCCCTATAATGTTTCCATTTATCTGATTTTACTGTAATACAGATGTATGAATAGACTGCAGCCCCACACAAATGTGAAACTTTCCCATTTAACCACAGAGCTATCATCATTAAAAAAGTGACCAGTGTAGCCTAAATATTCAGGGAGATAATGGATATAACCTCGGATATGAGAGACTGAACTGCAGTTCAGAAGTTGATGCAAAAGAAATTTTACATTTACTCATTTGGGTCATTTTTCAGATCATCTCTATTTTTTTTTTTACAATAAATCAAACTAAAATTAAAAAACCAGATGCAAGCATTAACCTACTTTAGAAGAGCATAAATGACATCTAAAACGGTGTTGGGTCCAACTGTTTTATGAGCTAGATGGTTTGCAGTTTTCATACATCTAAAACATTCTATTTGTTTCCCTTGGCATTAGAAGCTTTGAGCAAATTTGGTGGCACTGACTTAACTCATGATTTTCTCAGATATGTAGATCAGCTAGGTATTATAGAAACTATAACATGGATCCAACCAATAATGTCGAAGTCCAATGACCATGCACATTTTTCTTCGCAAAATTACTTCAATAAAAAGTTTTGTATTAGAATTCTCTTGATTTAAAACTATTTTTTCTTAATTAACTGAAACTGGAAGATTGTGCGAGTGACTGTAATAAATCTATACATTATTTATCATATCTGGTAATGCCTTACTTCTGGTAAATTTCAGTAAATGTTGTCAATTACTAATTTGTGTTAAAGTTGATTACATATATTTGTGTTTGCTTTCATTGTTTAAAAGTGAAGCATAATGGCCTCGAAAATATTTTATATTTTTATATGGAGCAAGCACATTCTTGTTTGCTTCCATTAAGAACTTGAAAAATTATAACGCTTTGTTTTAGAACTCATGTTTTTATTAGGAGAGGTAGAACCAACTAAAATGTAGTCACCAGTAATCATAATTGATTCTGAAATACAGCAGGAGTAATTGTATGACAACTAAAGAGTTTTCAGTTATTCCCTCTCTTCTTTTCACCTTTTGGATCCTCCTCCTCTTTTCCCCCCCCCCCCCCAAAATGCTATTTGGCTCTGACTTCTGTTTCTTTTGGAAATTTAATCTTCCTTTTTTCCACTTCCTCTCATTGTGCTTCACTTATTTGCTTTTTATTGTAGAGAAATTGTACCAGTGTCCCTCAAACGTCTAGAATTAAAAACCCATTTTTCATATTGTATTTGATCTGGAACAATCATTTTTCTAACCCCTTTTCAACTGCTTAGATATTTTATGGCTCAAACTGTGTCGGTCTCCCTCTCTGCATTTCTATTTTTTCCCCTTCAAGACTCCCTGTTCCACATTTCCAGACTGATTGACAGGAACAGGTTGGTAAGAAACTTCAGGACATGTTGTTAACATCTGACACTGTGGAAGAGAACTCAGCCCAATCACTGGGCACGTAAAGGGAAGTTGCACCTATTAGAGATGAAAGGAACTGTGCTTAATCGTTATTTACAAGTTACCTGAACCAAAACTCATCCATCCTCAGCTGTTTATTTCAACAAAAACTGACTCTGCGGTTTTTTGCTTTTATCAATAACGTGACTATTCTAGCGTAACTGGGATTTATCTCGCAAAACAATCTAAAACTCAAAGCACAATACTTTGTAAATATCTCAGTTATTGTTTAATGAGTCTATCTGAGGATATTCCTTATGGACAACGCGTCTGTTTTCCCAGCACTGGGAGCTAACAAAACAAATAATAGTGCAGCCATTGCATTTTCTTTGTACTCTTCCTTTAATATTAGAGCACACATTGAAACGATAAGCACAATGAAGAGCACAAAATGCTTCATCGGTGTGGTAACTGTATATTTCCTTTTTTTTCCTGAAGAAATATCAAGTTTTGGATGGTCACAGCCGCAGCAACGCTCACGTTCTGGACACCATACGTTTAAAACAGCTTTGTTACAGAGAAAACTGACTTAAGAAGAATTTTTTAAAACATCAGATTTAAAAAAAGGGGGAGGGGGAGAAATCTTACCGTTTAAAGACTGCTGCAGGTTCCAGCTCACTCTGAAACTGCAGGGAAAAGTGGAGCAGCTGCTGAACAAAAGTTTTAGATTTTTTTTTTTTTTTAGAAAGTCTGCAAAACTAATTTCCCACAAAATAGGGCTCAATTTCCGCTTAAGAAACTAGGTCTTGCAAATCTCATTCAATTCCTGATTTTTTCCAATAGCAATTGACATTCATTTTATCTTTCACACATGGACCTAAGAATTTAGACTTAAATTGCAGGAACCAAATGGTCTCGGAATTTAGGGGGGGAAGAACGAGGGTTTAAGAAAGGGAAAATATTTATGGTACTGATCATCACTTGATTGTTGATCAATAGCACTTTAATTTAAACCAACTGCCTGTCATGTTCGCTGTCACCATTAATTCCATGAGCCATTTCAAAAGCATATTTAAAATTTTCCAGACACCTGAGACAATGAAAACAACAACCAAGTGAATCAAAACAAACTTCCAGATGCAGAGACTAGAAAGTGGTTTGAGATCCTGTTTTGAAATGGCAGAAAGCAGGGAACTGTTGTCTTTCATTGACCTGTTTCTGCAGCTCATTAACTGCCGGTCATTTCATTTTAAAACAAACGCCCTAACATCTCAGCTCTAGTTGCATCAAGCGCAAGTGCAGAAGTATCTGTGCTTAATACTTTTAATATTTTAAGACATCATCTTTGCAGCTGAAGACGCGCCATGTGAGCGGAACAAGTGAGTGACACGTCTCTTGCCGTAATTTATTAACCAGAGGGAATTGAAGTGGCAGGAGCCAGTGTGGTTATTGGCAGCAGTTTCAGTTTATCAATGATAACCCGGCTGCTATTCCCATCTGCGCTTAGTTCCTTGCGGGGGACTGATCGTTGCTCTAGTGCCGAGACAAGATTCTTTCTGATCGTTTTAGGGAAAAATATTCCTGTTTCCAGATGAACGGCCAAAGGAAATCAAGGGGGACTTTGTTGACAATACACCTGGGACTGCAGGTGAGGATGCCTGGAGGTTTGGATTTGAAGCTGCCTCCTCCTACACCCCTTGCCCTGCCCCTCTCCCCTCAAACATCCACTTCCCCCTGGGGAAAGGGGCCGCTTTATTCTGGAGGACAATCCCCTGCAGGTCCTGAACTCCACCTGTCCTTCCCCATAAACACCACAGCTCGTCGGGAAACATTTATTATCCGAAGAAGTGGGTTGTAGCCCACGAAAGCTTATGCTCTAATAAATTTGTTAGTCTCTAAGGTGCCACAAGTACTCCTGTACTTATTAAACAGAGCGACTGTCCGTGATCGGGACCAGAGGGGGCCAAATCCGGCTGCGAAGTGCAATTGATGGGGAGGAGGAGCTGAGAAAGCATCGGAGCGCCAGACCTGCCTGGAGCCGACATCAGAGGGCGACCCCCTGCCCGTTTGAAACTGGGCCGCGTGTTCACAGATGTATGTAGAAAACAGTGGGGGTGGGGACTGTGCCGTGCAATAAAGTGTCACTTTTACTTCTCCGGAGTTGCAGCTTTTCATGTGCTGCACGCCCCTGGGCCCCCCGGGGAAAATCTGATCCCGCCGCCTGTGTCAGACAGGATGAGCTGCCTGTCAGGGCTGTGGCGTGTTGATGCAAAGGGCTCGGCTCGCTGACTGTGCTGGAGTTTTGGAGGGAGTTTTTGCATGTGGTCAGTCGCTGTGTTGCTAAGCCAGCCCCCAGCTCACATTACACACTACTGTATTTATAACCTCTCCGAGCCGCTTCCCCCTGCAAGCAGTTCTCTGGGACCACCTTCTATTGGCGTTAACCTCTCCCACTTCTTGACATCTGAGTAGCTCTGACAAAGCTCATCGAGGTCGAGTGTGTGTGTGTGTGAGTGTGTGTGTGTTTGTGTGTTTTAATGCAACGGAGACTGGCCACTAGGGCTAAAGACCTGGATTATCTGAGCTCTGCTGCTGAAAAGTGTGTCGTTGCCGTTTTGGAAAAAAAAAAAAATCCCCAACCAAGCCCTATCTGTTTACAGTGCAAGTTGACAAAGGGTGGTGGAGTTGGATCCTTCCTAAACTCTCCTGCCTGGAACCTGAGACTTGCATGCCATGGATCACACACTCTTTGGCTGCCTGCGCAGCCCTCATGCCACCGCACAGGGCTTGCACCCGTTCTCACAGTCTTCTCTCGCCCTGCATGGAAGATCTGACCACATGTCCTACCCCGAGCTGTCTACTTCTTCCTCCTCGTGCATCATAGCGGGATACCCCAATGAAGAGGGCATGTTTGCCAGCCAGCATCACAGAGGGCACCACCATCACCACCACCACCACCACCATCACCACCAGCAGCAGCAGCAGCACCACCAGGCTTTGCAGACGAACTGGCACATTCCTCAGATGTCTTCTCCCCCCGCCGCTGCCAGGCACAGCCTCTGCCTGCAGCCCGACTCAGGAGGTCCCCCGGAGCTGGGGAGTAGCCCCCCAGTCCTGTGTTCAAACTCCTCCAGCCTGGGCACGAATACCCCGACGGGGGCTGCATGTGCTCCCGGGGACTATGGCAGGCAGGCGCTGTCCCCAGTGGAAACAGAGAAGAGGTCCGGCAAAAGGAAAAGCGACAGCTCAGGTAAAGGCTCGTCCTTTGCTATTCTTGCGGGTGCTGGGCGCGCGCGTGTGTGTGGATCCTCCTGGGGAGAGGGGATCTAGAGAGAAACCATGGGCTTGATAGAGGGACTGCACTTCCCAGCCTTAAGGCTCCCTTTCTTCCAAGCCTTTCTCTGAGGACAGCAGGCTTCAGAGAGTCACTAAAGCCGCGCTCGATGTCTCCATCATAAAGCAAGTTTATCGGGAGCATGGAAAAGAGTGAGCACGTGATAGACCGTGAAATCAATTGTGAGCAGTTGCCTACGGTCAGGAGGGGAAATGTTTGTAGGTTTGATTAGTATTTAGCATCTGGTATTGTGGTTCCTCCCTCCTTCCCCTCTGTTTCAAGATAGCTCTGCTCTTTCCCACCCCCATTCCCCTTTTGCGCCAGTGAAACATATTTCTGAACGCTTGCACAATCCTTGGAAACTTTTTCTTAGAACTGGAACTTTTCTCATGAATGCTAAGTATGTGTTGCATTCTAGGGTGCGTGTCTGTATAGAGCATGTGTATAATATAGAATATAATTCATTACGGGGCATGAGTTGGAATTTATAAATCACCATGCAGTGAATCCCATTTTTACAACGCTTAGTATTTCATTTCATGTGCTTGGGCTTTCAGGAAGATTTTGCTGGACTTTCGATACACTGTTTTTGTTTTTTTAAGAAGGTGACCTGGGATATGCGTATATGCAGCCTATACAGAAAGGTGAAGCTTTATTATACTTTGAGTTTTATATCCCACAACTGAACAGATTTGGGTTCTCAAAGTGGGGAAAGAAACTCACAAAATCCCATACTAACAAAAGACAATGATCAAGGGGCAATACAATAGTTGCAATTGATGACATTTTTATTGTACATTCAAAATATTGAAAATGAAAGAGCAGACATACCAACAAAGCTGTTTTCTAATAGTGAAGAGAAAATGAAAGGATTTTCCTGATATTTACTAAAGTTCACAATTGGAACCATGACCTTGATTCACTTGAAATGTCATTAATCAGGTTTTTAAAAGTTATGGAAAGTTTGCTCATTTTTAAACTGCTTTTTGCAGTTACATTATATTTTCTTCTTTGCAATTCTCCATGTCAGTTACACTAGGAAAGTTTTACAATAAATCAGGATAGGTTTGTAGCATTTTACTTACTGTTACTATATAGGCTGAAAAAAGTTCTCCAAAATATAAAAATCTGTCATTCACAGACACTTGCAGTTTTATTTGCAATTATATCTTCACTGTGTTTTTAAGCAAACTTGCATCATTGATCATGTGAGGTCTGAGGAATATTAGATTTTTTTTAACCTGAGTTTTTGAAGGGAAGTAATTTTATGCTGGGTTGTCGGGGGGATCAGTAAATTTGTCAGTCATTTACAAATGTAGAAAATTAGAAGAAAGCACATCTGTGCTTCACAATACTAGGAAATGTTGATGTTGCTTTCCGTATTTTGCAATGCAAACACACAAATCCATGGGCATTAGGTGGGACTCTGTTGAAATCAATGGAATCTTTCCATTGACTTTAATGGGCAGTAGATTGAGCCCTTAATAATGATCGTGCTGATATAACAACATAGTCTGGAGTTAACTTTCTAAGACAATGTCTGTATACAGCCCCAAAATCATAGTACAGCATACAACTCCCCCTTCCCGCCCTCGAAAAAATATCAACTATGTTCATGTATTCTGAATGGCTTGATCTAACAAGTCTCTTTAGACAATGATGCAATAGTCACAATATTTCATATTTTCGAAGAATATTGTTTTTAGACCACAATATTTTACCACCCCATTCTTTTGTTTTAATCTGAACTTCTGTGCTGAATATTTGATATCAGTGTAATTTATGGCAGCAAATCTCATTTTTTAGGGCAGTCAGTGTATTTCTGCAGTTACCGGCGGCAATTGCTGTTCGTTTTACTATATTTAACAAGGAATGTATGTGATGGATCATTCTTTTTGTTTCCTGAATCAAATTGCCATATGTTTTTAAAACATAACTGACTTTTTTATTTAATGCTGATCATTTAGAGAACTTTTAGCCACCTTCCCCACTTTTAAACTTCTTTAGTAAATGTTTACAATTAATTATAAATTTAGAGTAAATAGCTAATAGGTAAACAAAGAGGCTGTTCAGGTATAGCATCAGCAGTTTCAGAAACTAGCTAATTAAGCACTAGTGCATATTTAGAGATATACTTTCTTACCTCTATTTACCACTAAAGACAACAGAATATTTTGAGGATATTCCTATGCTCTGAACATGTCCCCGGTTTTTGAACTAAATTAGCCTTGGGGCCATCCCAGTTTTGCGGTCTCCGGCTTTCATTAATATAAACTGTTGACATCAGAAATGTTAACTCATAAAGTTGAGTTTTGACAGTTGTCTATTCTAAAGAAATATCACAACACAACATCAATTAAAGCTACATGCATTATTTTTATTTCCCAAAAATGCTATATTTATTCACCCCTTAAAATTGTCATGAAAATTTCCCAGTGAAGACATGCATTTTTTCATGTTTATCTTTACCATGATGATAATGGGGAAAAGAACACTAATGCTATTTTATTTGTCCATCAAAAAATTACTCTTTAAAGTTTCATACTCCTGTACACAGGTGAATGGAGAGGGGGAATAACTTTTTTTTGGTATACTTTGTCATAATTTTGTTCCTTGCTTAGAAAACAAGGTTAAATGTGCCTTAGAAATTATTTAGGTAGAATGACTGATTTTGGATCCCATACTGGGGCCTGAGCAGGCTGGAAAATAACTTCTGAAGATAATGTTCAATAAACTGCTGCATAAACATGGAGAAACTGTCAACTCTGTATACAAGATTTGTAAATTATATGATGAGTGGGAAATACCTCTTAGTCATCTCTTCCTGGATGCAGCAGGCCAACCTGCCTGGGCCCAAATGTGGGACCGTAAACCAGCATGCAGGGATATACACACAGCCCTTTAAACATTGTGAGTTCATTTCTTTCAAATAAACATTTCTAATGTCAACAACAGTAAAAAAAAAAAAAAAATAAGATGCCACAACATTATGATGTATGCTGCAAACAAATTTATTTATTTTAAAATGCAGTAACAGCTATTTGTGTGCTAATGAGAGGTAGATGAAACAATATTCAATGAATAAGAAAAATATCCCTAAAATGTGTTGTTGCTTTATATGGTATGAGTTCTTTCATGAGGTATAATTTGGATTTTTTCCCTCTCATAAATTGCCTGTGACTTCTGAAGCCATTTAATTTCACCATTGTAAAATAACAGGTGTTGTTTACAGAGGATATAAAACAAGTAACAAATGCAAAACTATTATAGTGGTTGGCTAAGTCAGCTTATTTGTGTCTAAATTTTCTTAAAACATCCATGATTTTAGGAAAGATGTGAGCCCAGACACACCTTGGAGACACAAAGTGTAATCTGGATTTCATGTGAAAGCAATTAACTTTCTGAGTATTTTAGGAAGTCTGAATTTCAATGGGAAAAATCTGAAAAGCTCCTACTATTTGGGGGAGAACTTCACAGCATAACTATTAGATATGCAACAATCTAAATGGATTGGGATATCTATTAGGCTAGATGAATATATATTAAAATATATGGAGATATACCTAGCTCATAGAGCTGGAAAGGTCATTGAGTCCAGCCCCCTGCCTTCACTAGCAGGACCAAGTACTGATTTTTGCCCCTGATCCCTAAATGGCCCCCTTAAGGATTGAACTCATAACTCTGGGTTTAGTAGGCCAATGCGCAAACCACTGAGCTATCCCTCCCCCCAACATTAAGAATGAATACATGAAGATATGCTACTGTGTATTGAATCCCAATGCCATTTAAAAATACTATTAAGTATGAAAAATATTTTTACATCTGACACATAAAGACTGTATAGAGTGCAGAGATATACAGAGAGATTGATGTATGTAAATATAGCTATATGTCCATTTATATTTTTTTAAATGAACATAAAATGCCATCATACAAATGTAGTCTATGATGTGCCTTCAAAGAAACTGCTTTTAAAACCTAAATACTATAAATGTAGTGTCTAAAATGATCACTTCAAAGCAAGTCATTTTGATAAATGACTATAAATAGTGTGAATTCATTGGTTTCAATGACTTCTGATTGCTCTCTAAAACATTTCAGTAAGAAAAATGAGCTGCACCCGCATAATCAAAAGGACTGTGTAACTGATTCATCAATATGTCTATACTTTTCAGCGTGGCTGTAACGGAAGCAAGAGAAATACATGCTATTGGCTAAAACCTTTCTCTGGAAAGAGTTAATTTGTTAATTATGTTTGGGATGTAATATCAAAACATCACTTATCATGAACGGAAAATGTCAAAATATGTAGGTTATACAAATCAGAGAGGTATGTACCAAATGTGTTGAAGTCAAATTGAATGATCATGCTATTTTAAAGAGAAATACAAGACAGATGATTCCTTATCAGAGACTAGTGTTGCATATTGCATTACTTAGTGGATTGTTTTATTGGACAAAATTTACAGTAATATGTTCACTTTGCTCACAGCAAGTATAATTAACAAAAACAGAACTGTATCTTTCATAGATACTAAATTATATTTTAATTTGTACAATCTAAAACTCCTTGCTCTTAGCAAAATGACAGGTTTAATATATTTTATCACATCTCTTTGCATTAACTATGGATGGAAAATAGCATAGTCATACCATCTAATTTGAATTGCTATCTGTTTAGATGTAATGAGATTCATTTGTAGCTACAAACATTTAAGCCCTCCTCATTCCCCTATTAAAAAAACAAAGATATCAAGGCCTCAGTCCAGAAAAACATTTAAGCATGTGCTTAACTTTTTGAGTTGTTCCATTGCTTATAATTAAGCACATACTTAAATGCATTGCTGGATCAGGCCCAGTTTTTCTATAATACACCAACATAACTATGCAATTTTGTCTTACTTTATATTAGCCAG